CTTTTTACACCTGGAGTTTTTATGTCAGGCCGATACATTTGTAAGAAATAGTCTGCAAGTTAACAATTACAAACATGGTGACGGTGCGAAACTCTGAGGTAATATTCTACAAATTAACACGGACAGCATCTGAGTTTACTTGGCTAATATGCAAAAAAAAAAGGTAAAGTTGTCCCTGTGCTTAAGTAACTAAGCACTACGCCATGGAGACGTATGTGGGAGTGGATGTATAGATCCACGTTTTCTTGACCTCGGCACTAGTTGGAGGTGAGTGGTCAGCTTCACGCCCCGGTCCTTTACCACCGGGGAAAGAGCCCCCCGGTACCCACTGGATAGGAGGCTGGGTGGTCCCCAGAGCCGGTTTGAACGAGGTCGAGGAAATTCTTGGCACCACCACGACTCGAAATTCGACCCCTCTATCGTCCAGCCCGTAGCCAGCCACTATATCGACTGAGCTATCCCGGCTCCAACGTAGCTAGTAAGTTCCTCTCAAAAATAAATAAAATAAAAATAACAAAAATAATAATTTATAGATCTAGGTCTGGAAATCTCTGCAACAAGAAAGTAAGCTCTATGGGCTCTGACCGGACCTCTAATGAGTCATTGTTACAGCATATGGTTTTAGTATCATTGCTATTTCGTGTAAAATCACGTGTCTTTCTGCGTCGTAACCCTCTCAACAGGAGAGGAACTGTGTACACAATCAACGGATATGTCCGGCCTTGGAGTCCATTCATGAAGCAATGGTCAATTATGTATCATAAGAAGAGAACAAATACATTTAACTTATAATTAAAATTAACCCTAACTAACAAGGCAGCACTTAAGTCAATATGTCTAAAACTACCCTAGTTTTGTACACGTCGTCTTAGTGGTAACGTTCCGCAATTATATATTTGGAAGGTGTAAGATCCCTTAGAAATAGGATGGGATGGTATGGATTGGATTGATCTGGCTCAGGGTAGGGACCAGTGGAGGGCTCTTGTGAACACGGTAATGAACCTTCGGGTTCCATAGAATGCTGGGAAATTCTTGAGTAGCTGCAGATTTGACTTCTCCTCAAGAACGGCTCAGCTCCATAAGTAAGTATGCATGAATGTATAAGGGGTGGACCTTATTGGCCCTTGCACCGCGACCACAGTGATCTATTGTGCCTAAATAAGTAAGTAAGTAAGTAAGTAAGTAAGGTGTCAGATACAGGCATCGGCTAGGTTGCCAGATGTTCTACTTTAGATTCCGTTCTTTTCCTCAGTCTCTTCAGGTGATTTCGGGGTTATCTTAAATAAAATAGACGACAGCTTCATCCGTTTACTATACTAATCAGCCATAACCATCTTCTCACTTCATTCTAACAAAGAAAAATGCTTCCGTTTTCCTAATCGTCTCATGTTTCTGACGTCATAATTTATACCCCTTTCGAGATCCTGTCACGAGAATTTGCTGAGCCGTTTCTTAATATCTGTCAACATCTTCGGTAGTACTGGGGTTAAAGTGCATAATTATATAACAAATAATAAATTTAAAATAATTTATAGGCAGCCGTGGCCTATTTAAAGTACTAACTCGGTATCTCCCTGCACTATTATGAGGATGTGGAATTTGGACTCTAGCATTGAGGGTAGGTCACAGACTGAGGATGTTTGGAAACAAAATGCAGAGAACAGTTGGACATAAGAGAGAAAAGTAATAGGAGGCTGGAGAAAACTGCGTAATAAGAAGCTTCGTCATGTACACTCTTCGTCAAATATTATTACAGTGATCAAATGTGAGGATGAGTTGAGAGTAGTGGCGTGTAGCTCTCAAGAGCGAAGGGAAATTCACACAAATATGATGGGAAAATTAGAAGGAATGATAGGACTTGGAAGAGCTAGGGGCGGATGGAATGATAATATTAAAAGTGGATCTTAAAACAAATGAGAAGTGTGCATTCTGTATTCATCTGGATTAGGATAGGGAACAATGTTTCGCTCTTAGAAACACAAATGACCCTTCGGGTGGCATAAAATGCTGGTAATATCTCGAGTAGCTGAACAACTACTAGCTTTTCAAGATAGACTCTGCTCGATGGAACTAATTAGTCCCAGTATTTGTCTGGAGAGTCTGAGCAAAATCTCTCGCAGACTTCTGCTCAAACGATTTTTCCCTAACTATTCTATCACAGGAGTTATCCTGACAGACGTACGAATGCATATGAGAATATGCCACGCAAAACGTCTCGACATGTCAAACAACAGGTCAAGAATTCCCAAGTTCTAAAATGTTACAGAGACGAAATGTAAATACCATATGAAAATAGAGACTAGAAATCGTCAGGTCCCACTTTTGCTCCGACCTGATTCTCTGCATCGCCATAGACGCCAGCATAGAGCGCACTGAGAGGAAACGAGTAATTCATATTTTGGCTGAAAGTGCCTGCAGCCATGACAGAGTGCTGCCCATCAGCATGGCTAGCTCTTACCAATTCACTAAACCTGTTTTCAATTACGCGTCGAGTGGGATAGCTATTACAGACTAACATATATGGCGTCGTTAGCAAAGTACTGGGTTTATATTTGTCCGGGTGTCATCAGTCGTTTTGTTAAATAAAATAACGACAAATAAACAATGATACCTTTCAAAGCCAGATCATACAATGGGGTTTTTTGTTGCCAGCACGATGGAAAGGTCGAAAACTCCTCGCATCATATCAGGCCTACGCATAGCACCATAACGTCATAACCATAAGTTCACTTGTGGTCTGCGCTGTCTCGAGAAATCTCTGTAATACGTGTTTCGGCATAGCTAGAAGTGGGCTGAATCTATTCCCGTGAATATCTTATGCAAATTTCAAAGTTGGATATAAAGAATGTAACTGGAAATTGCGGACAAATTTTGGGCACGAGTTCCACATACCAAAACAGGAAAAAATGTTCATATCAATCTGTGCCCGGAAAAATATAATTTGTGAGTTATATATGAAATATTTAAAATAAATGTTCAAAATGTCCTCCGTGAAGGCGCATAGGGTGGCGAGACATCGAGCCTCCCACATTTTTTAGACAATCGACTCATAAATGGCGGTAAGGTTGTCAGCCTTAGCGACCTCCGTAGTCTAGGGGTAACGTTCCCACCTCATGACTCAAGGTACGCGGGTTCAAACCCGGCGGAGGTCGTGGAATTTTTAAGGGCGGAAAAATTCAGGGAACAAGTCCTCCGGGAGGGACTTTAAGCCGTGTGTCCCGTGTCGTAGATTTAAGGCACGTAAAAGAACCTCATGTCTCTAGGAGACCTCTGAGCTAAATTACAGGCCCTTTCCCGCCCAAGTAGTCTCCAATGCCTCTGGTGGATGGGGGAAGCATCAAGGTACCGGGGCCCGACCTCGTTGGCTCTACCGGGGGCTGATGGCACGCACCGTTACCGGTAGGGTATGGCGACAGTAGAAATTAAAGGGGGACGCACAATGGACCAATAACTGGTCTAAGTGCATGGGGAAACCCACGCCCTCTCAATATGAATACGAAAGGTTGTCAGCCTTACGCGCCGGTCGCCCTTTGTCCTCCAGGAAGATTCCTGGTATTCATTTCTGTTAGAGACTGAGTCGACCACAGGGCCATAGTGTGGCTGGAATGATTAGGCAAATTAAAAAAATCAAATGACCTCATCAGGACTCGAACCCGCGACCTTCCGGCTTATAGCATAGTGCCTCAACCGACTACGCTACTGCATCCCCCGCAAATTTTTGTACACAAGTCAATTAGTAATATTGGGTATTTCTTAAAGTCTTCAGTACAATAATCTGATTGCCGCTCACAGTGGCCATGAAGTCTAAGACATGAAATGTCTTTGCCCGCTCGAACACTGAGATCGTGGATTCGAACCCACTCAAGGCATGGATGTTTATGTTTATTCTACTTTGTGTTGTCCTGTGTAGGTAGCAGCCTTGCTATGGACTGATACCCCATCCAAGGAGTCCTACCTACTGTCTAGGATTAAGAAACTGAAGTGAAACGAAGTATTTCACTAAGTCCTATGCTGCAAATGGGAGCAACAGGAATGAAGATTGGTAGGTAATCACATCCTCAATGTTTAAGCTACGGATTCATCTCTGACCCAGCAATTGGTGGGATACAGAGTAATGAAGCTTCGTGAACCTAATAATCTCGTTTTGTTTTGTGCAAAAGGATAAGAAAGATTCCATCATATTCTTCATTCAAATAATGAAGCAAAATAAAAACTCACTAAAATATTCTACAATATATTCTCAACAAATCATAAAGAATATGCCTTAAAATTATTAAAGTTGTACATAATGAGGATGTTTCTGAAAGACCAGAGAAACAACTTGTACATTTCTATATGTCCATACAACTAATTAAAGAGGAAATGTTGAATAATTATCCATCACAATGGTTCAAAACCGAGGTTATATACACATACATACATATTGTAACAGTTAATTACATTTCCCTGGCAGTGTTGAGTGGCAGGATCATGCCATACCACTAACATACAGATAATTTGTATAATACTTACACAATGGATTCAACACTTTAATATGCACTGTGCATGTAACATGAATTATGATCAGTTATTAAAAAACAAAATGTACTCTTACCATCATAGCATGATATAAACTTGACTGCCAAGATAATTATTTATATGGACTATGGCCACTCTAAGCCAGTAAATAAATATAAACTATATAGAGGATTCTTATTTAAGTAGATTATTGCAAGACATATAAATTATTAAAACTAATATCCAAATTACAAATCACAAAGTAGAGTACTGTTGATCACTTAAAAGAACAACTTCTGTAGAATATCTTACATGCACAACAAAATTATTAAGAGTTATTAACATAAAACAAATCATGACATTTATGCTACTAATGATCTAGCACTTTAGTATTGTTCTCAAAGCTAAAGCTAACTTAGAAGCAGACAGCATTCTACTGACACTACACTAATACAACATAAGGGGATCCAGTAGAAAACACATCTGATTTAAGTGTTAATTTATTTTGCCACTGAAGATCATTTACCGTATCCAGCCAAATTAGGTATACAATGTTTCCAAATATCCTCCTAATATCAAAGCACTGAAAATGGCAAAAGGATCGGTAATCATTTGCATATTTAAGTACCATTCACAAATTTGTCATTGTAAGAAAGGAAAAAAAAATGTGATGCTATAAGGATAGAAGACTACTATTCAGAACCGCTGAAAGCAAAAGGAAGGAAGGAAAGAAAAAGAAAGGAAGAAAGAAAAGAAATGAAGAAAAGAAGGAAATAAAAGAAGAGAAAAGAAGAAAAATAAAAGGGGGGAAAAACGGGTTTGGTACAAATGAATCTTCTGTTTTGCTAGATATGGTAAAGAGTGAATTCACACTGATATACTAGTATTTAGAAAGCTAATCCTGCTTCCTTGTATGTTGTGAAAATCTTTTCAATAGAGTTCACATAAGCTGCAGTTCTCAAATCCAGCCCAAGATTGAATTTCATTGCAGTCTTCATGATAGCCTGTGAATGAGAGAACTTATATAATAATGCTACAGAAATATGTCACTTGTTGTAAGACCCTGAACATACTCTGCCATCAGTAACTGAACTCAGTGTCAAATGCTAATAGCAGAAGGTGTCTTCTTTCTGAATAGTATGCAGTTATGATCTCATACACGAACGACGATTTTTTTTAAGTTAAAAGGTAGTTAACAAAATGCTTCCCCCAATCAGACTTCAAATCTGTAATTATTCTGTGCTAATTAACATCACTGAATAAGTCTAATTTACTCCAATACAAACGTAGATGCATATGAACTGAAGTGGTTAGTATGACAAAGTACACTCAGCAGCACAGTAATAAAAATCACACATTGCACTGTTGTAATGGTGGTTACATAAGGTCCAGCCGGCCAGCATTAAAATCTTAAACTACTAACATGATTACTTTGAAGTAAAAATCCAAATAATAGGCCCCTAGTACCAGGGAATTTATACCCCCAATTCCCATATATTAAAGGCTAACATATCAGTCTCAGAATCCTGAGTTCTTTTCCTTTAGTTTTTCATTAACATAAACACAACATACTAAGGCACAAGTCACAGACACCAGATGAATATAAAAATTGTGTGGCAAGTGTAATGTTGGATTACATTTGTTGGGATGCTTCATGAACTACCGCACAAAGGAAGATGACAACGTTGAAGCACAGACTGAACATTAACATGTATTAACTGCTGCAGAACTTCACACTTTACATGATAACTGTACACATTCATTCTTGAACAGACTGGCTACAAACTTTTTTAAAATGTGAAAGCAGAACTATGCTGTATTCTAAAGTTTTGGGTCAGAAACTGTGAAATAACATTCCCACTGAATTAAATATTTCTGCACCTACAATATTCTACACAATATTGCTAATAAACTGATGGAGTAGAGCTTTTGGTGTTTATATTACACTGGGGATGGTTGTATAGTTACACAGATAAAGGCCAACTGCTTCAGAAAAACAGAAAATAAACCAGTTCCTTTAGTCTGAAAGAAGAGAAATTAAAATTGTGGAAATAAAGAAAAATCAACAGCTGATAACAATTATTTTTGTGAATACTTGTCTAAAAATTTTACTTCCATTCTCCTCACATGAAAATAACAATTATACATAAACTTTACACATTCAATATACCAAAACTAAAACAGAATAGGTTCTACTCGTGAAGCACCCAACTCTGAGGGTATTCCTATCATTTCATAACAGACCTGCTATGGAGTGACAGACCTCCACGCTTAAATAGTACCCTTTGCCAAGACTTGGTGAAAGAAACAAACTTGTTAATATTAATGGGTAGACTTACCCTTGCCGACCGTTCCATCGTGTAGTCCAGACCAGAGTGCACAATGTCTTTCTCTGATGCACCAGAGATTCTTTTCTGGAATGCTTCAGAGGGGGTTACAGGAATTCGACCTCCAACACGTCCAAACCTTCGCTCCAGTGATTCTTGCACAGATTCTGAAAACATTACACGATGCAACAATAAAGAAATACATTCCATTGTGAATC